TACCAGATGCCAGCTCTTGTCCATTGAACATTCTATCCTCATAACCCTCGAAATTCGATCACTTCTAAAGAAAATCAAATAAATTGCATACAGCATATTCTGCTTCAAATGCAGAATAAATTAAAATAAATTAAACAATAACAAAACAAAAGATGTTTCATTGTACTGTATAGGCAACTCAAAATTACAAACTAGTTTTGGTGAATATACAGGGATAACTGGAAGTTGTGTCAAAAAAATTTTCTATCTTACAGAAATTCTTCTATACTGTGCAATATTCGCATTCATGAAACATGACCGAACACTTATGAAATGCAATTTACGTGGGAGGTGGGACACAACAGAGAACTTCCGACCCTATCCTACTTGAGAGAAGATACGCGAACAGTTTAGTACTATATTTAGCTTAGATGTCGCTCCTCAAGGATGCGCAAGTTCATCAAGGTTCGCGCTGCTGCTGGCGTATAAACGCTTGGAATTGAAGTTCAACAAATCCTGACTTTCTCCACTCAGTTTTCACATGTTTTGGACCCGTCTTTCGGAAAAAATAAGATAGCAGATAACGAGAGCAACAAAAATATACTCTTGCTTCCAACCCCAAGAAATAAATCTCATCCACCAGATGCAAGTTTCAGCGCGCGAGAATTATAACCGCAAACAATCGCATTTTACACCCGTGAGAAAAGCTATAATTCCCTGATGAAACAATTTTTTCACTTTCCGTTGATTATGTCAATCTTTTTCTCCAACAGTTTCTTTCTGGAATACTCTCCTTCCATACCTCCAGAAAGCAGAATAATTCACCTTTTATTTCATCCAGAAAATTGGAGCGGTTTTGGTTTCCACAGCATTCATCTGAAGAAAACAGTTTTTTTTTTATAAAGGGAGCTTTGCTTCTGTGGAAGCCATTACATTCACCAGATCAATTTCTAGTGGTCATAAGTAAAGAAAATATGAATAATAATGTAATTTTTTTTACATGAATGCGTTTCCCCAAATTTTCATGCTGAAAACTATCCAAAATTGAGTTTCATATCTCAAGCATGCATTAATTTTAGTTTGAATACACATTGATGTGTATCAAGTCCATTATGCGAGTTATGCATTATCCAGGAGATTGTATCAGAGGGTTGTTGTCTGAATTTTTGAAACTAGAAAGTGTACACAAATCATCAGAAAAATTGAAGATACATTCATGTGAAACTATTTATAGAAATCAAAGCTTCATACATACTGTAAATTATAGATGTTCCTGATTCCCTTTTTTGACAAAAAATGGGAGTTGAACAATATTTTATCTTACTTGAAGGCATTTGAATGTGGGTTGATTAACTTAAAGTGTTCAAAACCCAGAAGTGAGTTCATAAATCTTTCTTTTTCAGTTCTTCAAGGGGAATAAACTCCCATGAATGAGGACATGCATATGTATCATTATTACATTCTGCTGATGTAAGTTGTCCAATATGAGCATTTTATGAAATTTCATTTGAATATATGAAACTATACATTCAAGGTTTTAGGTCCAGGCCTCCCATGGTATATGTAGTCTACATATCTTGATCCTTTCTTCATTTGTTACCTAGGAACCACTACATATTTCATTTGAAAGGATATTCATTATATTATTTATGCATAAAAAAAGCTAATGTTTTACCTAGTGCATCCAATGATTACTCATGCAACAAACCCAAGAAAGGAAAATGTGAGTTGAAGACTAACTGTGGGGATCAGTTATTGATGGCATCAGGAAAAGACTGAGTTTGTTCATGACATTGGAGACCACAAAAACGTCGAGAGGGAGAGATTCAAGGCAACAGGAAAGGCATCCGGAAAAACCGGTCCAGGCAATTACAATCTCAAGATAGAAATCATTTCCTGGGTTCTGGTGCTGCAGCTGCATGAGATCCAAGCCAACTATGATACATTAATGTACACCTTCTTCTATGACTTTTTTCTTCTTCACCATAGCCAAGGCAAATCCAGCAGAAGATGGGGGCAATTTCTGAATCTATAAGGGAGGTATCAGCAAGGGATGCAGACTGGCGCATAGTGGGTAAGTGGGTGGGAGATTTGCCATGCAATAACCAGAAGTGAAGCATCTTCAACAACAACTGCTGTGTTTGCCCAATTTTGATTTTCACTTCATTTATAAGCTCAAAAAATCAGAAAATATCAGATTAATTCTTGAAATTTTTAAACTTTTTCACAGAAGCAGCAGGTAAGTTAAAGGGCTGCTAAAAACATTTTTGAAAGAAAACCAAGTCCAAAATTAAATTCAAGAAATCTTTGTACTCTAGAATCTTGTTAGATGATGAAGCATTGTTTTAAAAAAAAACCCTGAAGAGAGCTTTGTTATTTAAAAAAATTGTGGAGACAAAATTAAAATTAAATTGTGGCTATTTAACAGGACCTAAAAAAAACCAAAGTCATTGCAACCATTCCTTTGTTATACTGTATTGAGATTTGTCATAAAAAGATCTGATGTGGCAAATACTCTTTTCAATTGAAGGTCAAAATAATTATACCAATTTCAATCCATCCTATATATGGTATGCTCCCACCAGAGGCATGAGTAGAATGAACAAAATCCTCTGATTATGAAGGAGTATTGAAAATGCACCTTTTTTGAATTTCAAGGTAAAAGTTTTTGAGGAGGCATGAAAAATATAGGGGCCTCTTTTGAATTTCTGATTAATGAAATCACATTAGATAAATTATAACAATACCAGATGCCAGCTCTTGTCCATTGAACATTCTATCCTCATAACCCTCGAAATTCGATCACTTCTAAAGAAAATCAAATAAATTGCATACAGCATATTCTGCTTCAAATGCAGAATAAATTAAAATGAATTAAACAATAACAAAACAAAAGATGTTTTATTGTATAGAGATAGACAACTCAAAATTACAAACTAGTTTTGGTGAATATACAGGGATAACTGGAAGTTGTGTCAAAAAAATTTTCTATGTTACAGAAATTCTTCTATACTGTACAATATTCGCATTCATGAAACATGACTGAACACTTATGAAATGCAATTTATGTGGGAGGTGGGAGCCGTGGAACACAACAAAGAACTTCCGACCCTATCCTACTTGAGAGAAGATACGCGAACAGTTTAGTACTATATTTAGCTTAGATGTCGCTCCTCAAGGATGCGGAAGTCCATCAAGGTTCGCGCTGCTGCTGGAGTACATTATATAAACGTTTGGAATTGAAGTTCAACAAATTCTGACTTTCTCCACTCAATTTTCACATGTTTTGGACCCGTCTTTCGGAAAAAATAAGATAGCAGATAACGAGAGCAACAAAAATATACTGTTGCTTCCAACCCCAAGAAATAAATCTCATCCACCAGTTGCAAGTTACAGCGCGCGAGAATTATAACCGCAAACAATCGCATTTTACACCCGTGAGAAAAGCTATAATTCTCTGATGAAACAATTTTTTCACTTTCCTTTGATTATGCCAATTTTTTTCTCCAACAGTTTCTTTCTGGAATACTCTCCTTCCATACCTCCAGAAAGCAGAATAAATCACCTTTTATTTCATCCAGAAAATTGGAGCGGTTTTGGTTTCCACAGCATTCATCTGAAGAAAACAGTGTTTTTTTTTATAAAGGGAGCTTTGCTTCTGTGGAAGCCATTACATTCACCAGATCAATTTCTAGTGGTCATAAGTAAAGAAAATATGAATAATAATGTAATTTTTTTTACATGAATGCGTTTCCCCACCGCAATCTCATTGCGTACACACAGTACATTCCGTATACATTACTTCGTTGCATTGGATTGCAAATCAGGTTTTACCAAGTTTATGATCGGTAGCGAGAAAATTCCCCACCTCTATATTTGTGAAAATTTATTTAGGGATCACATTGGGGCTAATTTCAAAACAAATACTGCACAGCATTTAGGAAGTGGCTTAAGAAATATAGTCTACATATCAGGAATGCTGCTTCACAAGCATAATTATATTCGAAGAATCTTGATTTTCGCTCAATGGGTTCATTTTGTGCGGCATGACAGTTTCCTGTCGCACCGTTCTGCCATGGCATCTTTCATGATATTGCAATTCGCGCGCGGATGATTTAAATGTAAATGCCCATCAGGAAGTGGTTTGAAACGAGTAATTTTACGGAACAGGATGCTTTAAAAGCCTAAGATTGTGAAGAATTATCATGATTTTCAATGAGTGCATTTATGCGGCATGATATTTAACTGTTGTACCGTTTTGCAATGGCATCTATCACGCCAGGTTCTCTGTGTCACAAACGTTCGCGTGTCTTGCTCATTTAGTTTGGTGTGCTCACATCAGGGTGACCCTCGTCTGTTTTCGGTACCTTTACTTTAATTTCTGAACCAATGATTTACCCGCACAAGTTTCAGAAGAGAGACAGATGATTGTGTAAATCCATGAAGACTTCTTTTTGTTCTATTCCAGTGATTTCGCCCGGAGAGCTTCTCCCCTCGCAGAAACGGGGGTTCTGGCGTAGATGCAGGGTGCATTGTTTCACGAAAAACAAAAGAAAAAGCCTGTTAAGTTTTCAGGGCATTTTTGACCTTGGTGACGAGGGGAATGGTGAAATATTTGGGGAGATTCCCGAAGCGAGCAGGATTAGCGCAATGGAGTCTTCATGCGCAGACGAAGTTGTATTTACCAGGAACGCGCGCGAACTTTCAAACGGTGAAAGTTCGCGTTTACGGGAGGTCTTCTTTCCTTCCTACAGTCGAGTTTCCCTGAATATAAGTCATGGAAGGTTGAGTTACATCCACTCAGTCTGTTGAAACGATGTGTATTCGTTGGCCGAATGGATGTGAAAATCGGTTCACTACCGGGGGGCCTTATATATACGCGCGCTTTTCTTGAAATCTCAGTGAAACAAAATTTTTACCGCGCGGATTCATTTGAATTATTGAAATCAGGGCATATTGTTCGGGATTATGGCTGTTTTTGAACGTAATACTTGCGTGGAGAGCGGTGTGAAGATGGTGGTTGAGATGACCGCTGGATTCTGCACTTGTTCTTCGCCGTAAAAGTTTATGTGCGGAGTGATGTCGTGAATTAGTAGCGATTTTTAATCTTCGTACTCCTCGGAATCTCTACTTTTAGCAAACCATCCGTGGCTGTGCTTAGGAATACGTGTCTGTAGCGAGAAATCTGAAGATGGTGCTTGAACTGGAGCAGATGGGTAAGTGGATCACGTTTTGATCCAAATATTCTCGATTCTCGTGATGATCCATGCTTGTCTTGTTCGACGACGTTAAATTTGTTGAAACTATTTTCCATGAATTTTCTGTTGGTGATAATCAAGTTCGCTACGTTAAGAAGCGTGTCATCGCCAATATTCCATCTTATTAATTTTCGTACTACGCACGGAAAATTCGAGTTTTCGGCAATTTTCTTCGAATACTGTACCGTATCAATACAAGTTATATTCATGATATCGCAGTTATTCATCTTATGATACTTCACCCTCGCGTCATTGACAGGTACAGTATATCATTTGAAAACGTCTAGTTCGGAGAAAATCATTTCGGAAAAGAACCCGTCCCCCGTTGTGCATGATCGTCGGGGTTTCCCCAATGGACATGAGTCTAATTCTTGGTATCACGTAGTATTCTGCATGATTTCGAGTATAATGATTAATTCGTAAAATGGTTACATTTTACAATCTGTACAATCACCTAGCGGAACGCGGCGGGAGTGACGCATCCCTCGAGGATGGCGCGCTCTTCGAAGCGAATACTGAACTTCATCCAAGTTAGCATGGAATGTCAATCTTGGAAGAAATTCTTTCGGATCATTTACACACGAATGTATAGTAATGTATTGAATGTCAACTGCGAGGTACGCAATAAATACCTGTCTTTTTTCATCGTCTTCCGGAACATTATTCACTAGTGAATAATGTACTTCCGCCATGGGTATTTCATAAACGAAATTGAGGATTCTGTTACGATTGCTGGTAATTTTTAGTTTCATCTATAGTTCTTGTCGTGACGTGTCTTTCCTTATTGCAGCTTGCATTATAGGTAGTTATTGATCATTATAGGTAGTTATTGATCATTATAGGTAGTTATTGATCATCAAGTGTTATCAGCGATAAAACGAGTCCTTCATTTCGATTTACGCTTTAGTTTTTCATTGCTTGCAGAATTTCTTCGTGTATTTACATTATAGGTAGTTATTGATCATTATAGGTAGTTATTGATCATCAAGTGTTATCAGCGATAAAACGAGTCCTTCATTTCGATTTACGCTTTAGTTTTTCATTGCTTGCAGAATTTCTTCGTGTATTTTCCCCTTGGTGGCTTTCTCCGCCAAATTGATTTCCTCATCTGATGCAATTTTCCGCTTCGAATATTGTCTCTCTTCTTAATTTCCTCTCAGCGCGCGTAGAATATGTGCATCTACAGTATATTCAATATATGTCCGTCTGTACCTCAATCCACATCTGTGATCTGTTTGTTCGTGATGATGAGGAACGCGTGAGTTGAAAATTAAGCTTGGTTGCTTGCATTTTTCTTTTTTGCATCTCGCGTGTCAGGGCGAACCTTCGCGAGGATAACGTTCAACGGTGTCAAGGACAAGGGAGCCGCTCCTCCGCCTTCTTCCCCAAGGCTAGTGGGTAATAATGAGTCGCAGGATCCCGACTGTTGCGAACCGGATGTCTGGTCGCAGGCCTTCTTCGCCAAGAAGGCCAGGAGTCTGTGCTCGGAAAAGTCGTTGCGGAGAGCGTTTCCGGTCGCCAACTGGTTGCCGAAATACACCAAGCCGGATGACATCATCGGAGATCTCATTGCCGGTATCACGGTTGGATTCACCATCATTCCACAGGGCATCGCGTTTGCGGAATTGGCAATGAACGGTGGGCTCCATTCTTTTTTTACGTTTACCGCCGAAATGCACTACTGACCTTACTCACTGAAGTGGACATATAATGAGTACCGTCGCGGCTCGCGCAGAAACTTTATATCTACAGCGGAGGGAATTGATGGATGCGAAAGTCGCAAAAAATTTAAGTGCATGTAATCCTGATTTATATGATCATGTTGTACAAGTAATGGTAACCGATTTCATTTCATCGGAAAATGTCAAAGGATGGTTAATTTCTTATTGGTGCCTGATCATCACTTCTGGATCTCCTCGCCTAATTTTTAAATTGCGTCTACAGTATAATTTCATTACAGCAGACATTTTTGGAACCTCAGAAAATTTTTTACTACTAAATAATTTGTTACGAGTTTCTCAAATTTAGTTCTTTGAAAACATCATTACATCAGACCTGTATATGATCGTCGCTATAATTTTGCTTTCTGGCATTCCCAAATGTTTTATTGTTTGTAAAGAATGTTAGTTTTACAGAAAAGTTTGTCGTAGGAGATTTATCTGTTGTATAGATGATGAAAGGATTGAAAGCATAAGCATTGCCATAAGATATTGGGGATGGTTGAGTCTTTTCATTAGCGCCACGGACTAGTACCAAAAGCCCAGGGAAGCGGTTTAAAAGCTTAACGAGTAGTAAAGACTTTATGAAGTGAAGATGTAGAAAAGTCATGCCCAACATGAGCCCAAAGGACCCAAGAGAGCACTACATACTTCTGGGAACCGTCAAGGAGATCACCATAGGACCAGCTGCTGTTAAAACGTAAGAGAACCCACCCCGGTGACGGCTGAAGCTGTTCCTTATGCAGCACTGCAAATCGTAAAATGACACAGAGTATAGACCTGATAAGACGTACCGATACCCACCTAAGTTCGAGCCATTCTGTTTTTTTTTATACTGAATATCTTTTTATGTGACAGATCACGTGAATAATATTTTTTTTGCAGGATTCGTGGTGGAGTTTATTTCTGCACCCGTGACAGCTGGCTTTGTGACTGCCGCCGCTATTGTGATCATCTTTAGTCAGCTGAAAATTATTCTCGGCATCAAGGGAATACACGGCGAGGAATTGTCTACGATGATTCCAGGGTTGTACGGGAAATTCCACGAGACGAACCCTTATGACGCTTGCATGGGCATTGTTTCTATCATCGTCCTCCTGTCCATGAAGGTGAATACATTTTCTGAAGGAAATTTCTAGAAGCATTTCCGAACATTGCAATCGGTGATATTCTGGGCTTCTTGAATTATTTGACAGGATGGTGACATTGAAGAAAAGAGTTTATTTTCCCCATTAGTCTCTTACTTCTTTTCAAAACGCATCATAGGTTACCTTTTCATTCCTCTTCTCTTTCCGTTGTCAATAAAATTATATCCAGAATATGTGCGAAAAATCCGACTGAGGGTTTGAGGGGAGGAAGCCTTGGAGTAAGGAGGCTTTTAATGTACTGTATTACCGCTCAGGGAATTTAGAGAACAGTTTAAATACTGTATTTCGATGTAGAGGGAATTTTTTCGACTTGCCGAGGTTAGACTGTTAATTCTGGTGATTTTTGAATTGTATGTTTACGGTGTACTTCTTCACCAGAAATTGAGGGACGTCAATTTGAAAGACGTCGTGACNACTTGCCACCCGAGGTAAGAAAAAAATGCAAATGGCGGCTTTACGTGATGACTGGAATGAGTGACTTCACCTGTATATTACTCATGGCAGCGCCGAGCGCGTCTTTGAAATATAGATGTCGCCTCCCCGTTGATGGATGCGAAAGTCGCACTGGATCTCCTCGCCGAATTTTTAAATTGCGTCTACAGTATAATTTCATTACTGCAGACGTTTTTGGAACCTCAGAAAAATTTTCACTACTAAATAATTTGTTACGAGTTTCTCAAATTTAGTTCTTTGAAAACATCATCACATCAGACCTGTCTATGATCGTCGCTATAATTTTGCTTTCTGGCATTCCCAGATTTTTTATTGTTTGTAAAGAATGTTAGTTTTACAGAAAAGTTTGTCATAGGAGATTTATCTGTTGTATATACAGTATGATGAAAGGATTGAAAGCATTGCCATAAGATATTGGGGATGGTTGAGTCTTTTCATGTCGCGGTGCCTGATCATGGTTTTCGGGTCCCTTCGCCAAATTTTCGAATTGCTCATCATTTCTGAAATACTTCACTTCTACATCTTTTCAGTACGGGTTGTACTCGGGTTTCCTGGGTTCTCTCGTGTACATACTTCTGGGAACCGTCAAGGAGATCACCATAGGACCAGCTGCTGTTATTTGCATTCTCTTGGGTGGGGCCACTGCCGACTTCGACAAGGAATACGTCGTGACGTTTAGCATTTTACTGTGTCTCATATCTGGACTATTCTGCATGGCTATGGGTGGATTCAAGCTCGGTAAGACCTTTTTTTAAAATACTGACTATCCTTTCATGTGACGGATCACGTGAATAATGTATTTTTTGCAGGATTCGTGGTGGAGTTTATTTCTGCACCCGTGACAGCTGGCTTTGTGACTGCCGCCGCTATTGTGATCATCTTTAGTCAGCTGAAAATTATTCTCGGCATCAAGGGAATACATGGCGAGGAATTGTCTACGATGATTCCAGGGTTGTATGGGAAATTCCACGAGACGAACCCTTATGACGCTTGCATGGGCATCGTTTCTATCATCGTCCTCCTGTCCATGAAGGTGAATACATTTTCTGAAGGAAATTTCTAGAAGCATTTCCGAACATTGCAATCGGTGATATTCTGGGCTTCTTGAATTATTTGACAGGATGGTGACATTGAAGAAAAGAGTTTATTTTCCCCATTAGTCTCTTACTTCTTTTCAAAACGCATCATAGGTTACCTTTTCATTCCTCTTCTCTTTCCGTTGTCAATAAAATTATATCCAGAATATGTGCGAAAAATCCGACTGAGGGTTTGAGGGGAGGAAGCCTTGGAGTAAGGAGGCTTTTAATGTACTGTATTACCGCTCAGGGAATTTAGAGAACAGTTTAAATACTGTATTTCGATGTAGAGGGAATTTTTTCGACTTGCCGAGGTTAGACTGTTAATTCTGGTGATTTTTGAATTGTATGTTTACGGTGTACTTCTTCACCAGAAATTGAGGGACGTCAATTTGAAAGACGTCGTGACGAATCCGACAGCAGCAAAGGCTTTAAGCAAAATCCTATGGACAATTTCTGCTGCGAGGAACGTCATCTGGCTTTTGGTTTGCTCAACAATTGCCAGTGTGATCAACAATCGTCGCGGAGAAAATGTTTTCAGCCTTACACGTGCGTTATTGACTTAGGTATTTACTGGTTCTGAATAATCGTTATTTGAATTGGCCCTCTTTTTTTTCGTCATTGTTCAGAGCGTGTCAAAATCAGTGGAATTCCGGTGCCGCGGTTGCCAGAGTTTCACATCCCAGCCCATAATGTGACCATCGATGGCCATCACGTTCGGTATGTGCCGGAAATGGGTTTCTGGGATATCCTTGTGCACGGTGGATCCATTCTTTTCGTCATCCCCATGATCTGTTTGGTTGAGCAAATCGCTGTGTGCAAATCTTTCGGTGAGTTCTTATTCTCTTATTCGAATAATTTTCTAGATTTTTTTTTGTGGGACGTTTGTGGGTTATTAAATCTGTCTATTGTTTTTGAAATTTGTGGCAATTGATTGTTTATAAAAAAAATTAAAATAATTCGAAAATGAAGTACCTCGTATATTGGGGAAAATACAATTTTTATTTCTTTTAGAAAACAATCGAAGTTACCGTGCGATGCGTGAATTATATCTAGTCAGTGTTTCCAAGAAGGAAATCCTATATACGCCATCTTTTTGTTTGCTGATTTATCAAAAAAGTTAATGTAGTATGAAAATCAAGTACAGTATAATAGGAGATAAAATTCCAATTCTTTTGGGAAAATACTTTACGCATCGAAAGGTCAGTTAAAAATTCTATCCAGCTGATGTTTCTAAAAAGTATATCATGTCGTCTTCGTGTTTTCATGAAAACGTGATTAGATCGAGGATTGTCAGGAGCATATTTGAGTTTTCCTCAATTTTTGTAAGTGGCGTTTTAATGGACTTGTCAATTGCTATCATCATCAAGGAAGATACAGTATTTTATTTTTCATGAGAAATTGGGGGTTTCCGATGGTGATACAGTTTACCAAGGGTAATTTTAACTGGGTTTGACTTTTATTTCAGCCAAAGCGAAGCCAGTTGACGTGAATCAAGAGTTGATGGCATTAGGAATCAGCCAAACAATGGCAGTGTTTTTCCAAAGCATGCCAGTGACTGGGTCCATTTGTCGCAGTGCAGTGAATGCCGTTTCTGGAGTGCGGACACCTTTCGGTGGTTTTTGGTCTGGTAAGTTTGATATTTAATGTATGAAGAAAAAATTATTTGAAATAGCGATGTGATTTTTTTTTGGCAACTTGCCAAAATAAAACAGGTGCCATCGTGTTGTTGGCGTTGTCGTTTTTCACGCAGTATCTGGAATACATCCCAAAGTCGACACTGGGTGCAATTGTTGTTTGCGCTGTCATCCACATGATTGAGTATGAAGAGACGCTGCACATTTGGCAAACCAAGCGTGAGTTTTTTTTAATTTTGTCGATTACGAAGTAGTTTTTACACGGATTTTTGCACGGAGTATTTATAAAGTAGTCTCAGTTATGAACTATAACAGTATTTAGGCGAATAAGAGCCCCTGAATTTTGAGTTTCAAGACTTGGAGAGAATTGCATAAATACGCAAATTTAAGCACCCTAGATTCTTGAACTAAAAATTAATTAATTTACGCGATTTGGTTTATTATGCGACCAAATCAGGAAATCTTTATTTTCACGGCCCACAAAACGATGAAAAACAACTTTTCCGTTTATTTTTTTGGGAATTTAAGTTGATTATGATCATTAATTTGGGTTGTTCAAAAGTTTCTTCCTTTTTGGAGGAAAACCTTAGTTCTTACAGAAATTTAAGTTCCTTGACTGTCAGAACACCAGAAAAGTATGAGTGGGTGCTTATATTTGCTTACAAATGGAATTTTTTAATTTTTTGCATGAACATGCTAGAGAATGCTTCTTTTCGTAAATACGTTATTTTATTAATTTCATTTTCTTATGGCTTTATTCCCTGTATTTGTCTCCTCCCCATGCGTCTAAAATTGGAATAGATTCAGAAGTTTATTAAATTTTGTTGTTCAATTACGAAATTTGGCCTCCCATAAATTCGTATTTTAGTCTGCCGTTAAAATTTCAAGTGTGTATACGCAATAACTTGAATTTAACGAGTTGTTTACTTCCCCATTTCAATGAATTCATTTTTTTATTTATTTATTTACTTCGTTCGGAAACCAAGCAATCCTTTTTTTTTTCATTTCATTGACGCAACTTTTTTCTGTTATTGCAACAGGAAGAGACATGTTGCCACTGGTGGTGACCTTTTTCGCTGCATCTTTCATTGGACTAGAATGGGGTTTCATGAGCGGCGTGGTCATCAATATTCTTATGTTGCTGTACTTCGCTGCCACTCCTCGTGTGCCCATTCTGAAATTCAAGGTAACCCGAGTGGTAACGCTTTTATGTTTCTGGTTTTCAAAAAAAAAAAACCTTGGTGGTTTGCTCTTGATGTAAAATCGAAAGCGATAATTTTATTTAATGTTCTAATGCATGATATACTGCGTTAAGTATTATGTTCATGTTATTTTCGATCGTTTTAATTTCGAGACGTGATGAAGATTGAATGTGAAATTTGCGACCGTGAAAGTCATTATTTACTCATTACTTCATGATGTACATAATACAGTACTGTAGTAGTTTTATTTTTTGTGTTTGAAGTTTGGAACAGTCTCTTTATATTTTCTAAAAATTATTAATTTTTTTTTTTCAGTTGACGGAGGATAAGAGGGTCGTGGTTCTTCGTCCAGACCGATCCCTGCATTACCCCGGCGTCGAAAAGGTGCGCAATTTGCTGAGCAAAAAGGCCCTCATGCACAAGGACGCCATGATTGTGGTTGACTGCATCAACCTCATTGACATTGACTTCACGGGTGCCAAGGGCCTGGGTTCTGTCGCGGCTGCTTTGCGGGAACGCAGTCAACAAATCGTCTTCGTCAATGTGCAACCCAACATCAACCGAGCCCTCCGGGGTTTCACCCACGGCGATGTGGACACTTTTGAAACTGCTCAGGACTGGATTGACACGCGTGAGTTGATCCCGGAAGAAAAATTTTTTGGGAAAATGTTTTTGAGAAAATGTTGAAATTTGTGTGAATTGTGGAATGAATCAATAATTGAACTTGTTTGTGGAACGGAACATTCAAGCGGGTCGAGTTTCGATGACTGACATCATAATTTCAATTAGGTTACTTGAGATTACCTCTCTTCACAACGAGTTTCTCCGAAGAAATAATTTTTTGTTTGTCCCATAGGATTCTCGACGACGGATTTTTTTGGGATTCCTTGAATTTTGATGCACAGATTCCATTTGTTCTAAATCACTTATTTTAAATTATTATTTTATACGAGCTGATGGAAATTAGTTGCGAAATTTTCAGTCCTTGGACAAAACGAATTTGAAACTGTGCTGACTTGAAATTGTTTGTGTCTAGATCTGTTTTTCGTTGTTTGACGTTTTCAATTACGGATTCGGCGATTTAATCATTTCAACCGCAATTTTAGCGAACATTCAAATGATTATAGCGTGTAATTAAAATCTCGCGACGATCCCTCAATCTTCCCGTAAAAAATCATGACATCGAATTGTGAATGTGTGAAAAAAGAAGTTTCAAAGCATGGTCCTGGAACTGTTATCGTAGCTCTCAACGTGATGCAAAAAATAATTCATTGCCGAGATTTGCAATTGCAAATGGGGAAAATGCGTTAAGATGTGGAAGAACTCGAATGCCACATAAATTTCGCAATATATGCGTATATATTTTTTACTTCAGTTTCGGACACGAGGAATCGTCACACGCTCCACCGGACATTGTCCAACCCTGAAGGCCGGAAGCGTTGTGATTCGACGCACTTGTTTGACGTTGAAATCAGTCCGGAAGCAAAAGAACTTGACGTTGAAGGTGTCGACGTCGAGGAGGAAATTGACGACGGTGATCTCGACACTTCTGGATACATTGACGACAACGGAGTCGACATACGATTGTGACACACCTTGCGCGTTTTTTTTTCTCAAGCGCATTGTCTTATTTTGACTTGTATTCTCCTCTGGAGATGTTTTGAAACTCCAGCTTCGTATGTGATTCGGTTTTTTTTCTCCCCTTTTTTGAGGATGTGAATTGACCTATTTTCTTTTTTGCAACGCGTCATTTTTTAGTAAAAGTATTTTGTGTTGACGTTTTGTGAAGAGAGTCTTTTCGTATTTATTTCGGGGTTTTCCCCCGTGAAATCCTGGTATTCGTTTAAAATTTCGAACCGAATTAACTTGTCATTTAAATATAACCAGACATTCGAGGAAGACTTCAAATCTGCAGTTCTCCCTCAAATTCCTAAATTTCAAAGAGAAGAGGCAAGACCAAACTTTGATTTGCTCATTCTCCCCACTTCATGTAGGATTTATTAGAAGTTGAGTACAATGAACAATCCCTTGTGACAATGAACAATCTGTCATGAAAAAGTCACTTTTAGGTCTCTGCCCAAAAGCCTCAATGATGAATGAGGTACTGTACTCCATGAAAAATTTTTCCCCTCAACAAAGGTATTTTATTGCTGGTCACCATTAAATTTCTTGCAATCCTTTTTAAAATCTGAAATTGTAGCTAGTTTAAGATACAGTACTGATTGATAAACCATATTATATCTCACATTGATGGTGAACCTTGATCACTCAAACCTCCCTAAGTTAACTTTTTCAAGTCCCTGTCTGGATTCCCCTAGACACAAATGTATAAAAAAAAAACTCCCTAAGTTATAGGCTTTTCCTCTAAAACCTCCGTAAGTTGAATTTTCTGAGGCCTTTTGGCTAACATTTACTTAACAATTGAGGGAAAAAATCAAAAATGGAATTTGATGCATTTGAAAGCAATTTGCCACACCATTGGACTGCTGTCTCCGAAGTTCAGCACCTTTTCAACTCATTTTAGAATCAATTCAAGGGCAAGAATATCACCAATTACAATTTAGTGCAATTCTTATGTCTCACGCTCAAAAAAATGCTTGGTTCCACAACTTAAACATCTTCAACTCAAAACCTTCCTAAGTCAAATTTTTTTCTGGTCCCTTGAAATTCAACTTGACAGGTTCAACTGTACAATTGAGGTATTTTATTGGGCCCAATGCCTTTGTTGTAATAAGATCTTCCTGCATCTCAAACTAGGTTCAATTTATGTTAGAAAACGGATTTCAAGTAAGCTATACTTCATCATTTTTTAAGCATGGACCCACTTGAATAGTTTTTATTCAAATCATGATTTAATTTTTGCGTGGAGGTAAGCAATCTTGATCTCTTCACACTGGCGTACAGGAAGTGTAGATTCTGTATTGATTTTAGCTTTTATATTCAATACATGGCTCGGGGAAAAATGGTTCAAACAACTGCGTGCGAAACTCAAGAAATGCGGATGCAATCATTATAGTCTCAGATAACCGTTAACACAGCAGAAATGAGACTCATTTCCAGAGAAACACTCCTCACTTGACTTCCTCATGGAGACTCTTATATCTTTATGGCGCCCCCAGAGACGGACCATATGACCATAAAACGGGCTCCTTTTTGGCTTCAGAAGATCGAAAAACGAGGCCTTTTGCTTACTTCCTATATACGTTAGTCGCAAAATTCTTTTTTTTCTCAAGATTTCGAAAGCGTAAATAACCGAGCCTCCAAAGGTGGTAAAATAATGTACAAGTGCTTTTCGTTATCGATAACAACATGCTGGAGTGAAATCGGTTTGTGAGGAAACTTCGCAGATCCTGTCGAACAATTGTCATGTCAGTGTCAAATATGTTTTTTCTTCCTTGTCAAACGAAAAAAAAAGTTACGGACACGCGACTTCTAAGACCAGTGCCTGGATATATAGAAAGATAATTACAGTAGTGATGCTATGGTTGATGGACTGTGTGAGTCATAACAGTTCGAAGTTGGTTAACCAAAAATATATTATGAAACCAGTGATGCAACTTTTAAGTCATTTCCTTTCCAACACAATGGTACTAATCTTAATTTTGGGCCCAGCAACAAGAAATACTGTAGTTTATAAATTGCTATAACAAAGGTTCATACAAACCTTTTTGAACCATGCCTGGTTTCTATATCAACTTCAGCTGTCTCGGTTAATGGACTTCTTCCAGATTGGGGAAAATTGGTCTTTGTGTGAATTTCAAGCATGGCCTAAGCTAACAAAATACAGGTGGAATCTCTCTAAAACAAAAATTCAAGAACCCAGAAAAAAAGTTTGTTACAAGACTTTTGTTCTAGAGAACCTATATATAACAACAAGGGATCCAAAAAACCTTTTTATACAGAGAAAATCATTGTAGACAAGATTTGTTGTAGAGAGAGTCCACCTTGCCATATTACACAGAAAATTATTGATGCATCAGTTAATGGACTTTGTCCAATTCAGAGAAAAGTTTTCAAAATTTTGGAAACATCAACAACAAAATATAGAGAGTACAGTTCACCAAATCTTGGACAGTGTTCTACAGAGTTACCAAGTTTTAAATTCCTAAATAGTGATGCAAAATCCATAAAATGATGCTAAATGTCACATGTGAAATATATTTGGCATCACTGTAAGACTACTTTGAAATTGTCCAGGTATGTTACTTCTGAACCTACATAATTCCAAAGGGATACACTGTCAGCTGTCTATCTTTCCATTTGAACATAGAGCAAATGTTCCAAAATTGGACAGAAAATGATGATGAGTTGGCTCATTTAAAAGGAAAATTTCCAGTATAATAACCATCAACTCAAGCAAGAAAAATTATAGTCAAAACATGTCCATGAATCTTTGTACAGAATTTCACACAGGATAAATGAAAAAAATTGCTGCAAATTTTGATGAATGCAACATTTTTCAGACAATAAAAAAACAGATGGATTTCACAAATACACTATCAATTTCAACTTGTTGATTTGCCATAAGGTGAGGCACACATTTTGTTAGGAGACCAAAATCACTGGCTCCATTTTTTTTTTTGAGAACTATTTTTACTCATATGGAAAAAGCCACAAAAAATTGCCATCAATTTTAAACTTTTCCTGTTGAAACTCAAGCATCATACAATATTCATAAAAATTGTTGAATTACTGTGTCCCCATTGGTTTGACTCAAGATATTTAAAAAAAATTGTTCTTGCCTGGAACATTTTTTTTTAATGTAACCTCAAGAAAAAATCTTGGTTTGCTGAAAAAAAAATGTTACTTGAAACAAATGGCTCACCCAAGAAATAATCATTTCTTTCAATATGTTGCTTCTCATCAGTGTTCTGACTTCTTACATACAGTCTGAGACAGACCAGTCTGTTCTCGGACATGCTGGACAGTCTGTGCAAATTGAACCGGGCACCTGTTTCACCTGACACTAATGGTTATTTTTATTTTTAGGCGAGGAACCGGATTCTTTGTTGACCTTGGAAGAAGCCCCAGGGGGGGAGGTTGCCATTCAGGAATGGGTTCTTTTATTTTGGCGGGCTTTTGCTTCCTTCCCGGGCTCCACCCCGGGGAAAGGAAAAGCCATTCTTCGGATTGTCATCCCCAGTTGAGTTCCAACCCTGAGTGTGAGAGGAACTGAAAAATGATTCCTGGGATGATTTTCCCAGGACAAGTGGCTTTTAATCATCCAATGCTTTCTCGTGACATTCAACAGTTTCGACTGAATTTCAGTGCAGTGAATTCCAGTTTTTCTTACATCGATTTGGCAATACTGAAAATCCCGTTTGTCAAGAGAAGAAAGGGAAAATTTGCGTTTGAATTTGTGCTCGCGAAGTCTTCCTGTATTTATGAATCCTTCAAATATGGAATTAAAATAATAAAATGTTTATTTTTCCTCAAAAAAATGCTGGGAGTGTCCGTAATAGACGAAAAATTCTTCTTACAAGTAAAAAATTTTAGTCAGAATTTAATTTTTGGTTTTCTTTCGCTATTTATGGGAAGTTATGTGAAACTTGAAATCAATTGATGGGCTCAATTTTCAAAATGATACATTTGTCAATCCTGTGCCTGACTCACAGACATGAGCTTCATTATAATCATAAAGACTCAAAACTGCTAGAAATGTTTTCAAGTAAATTATTCATGTACAGTACTGTACTAGGGTTGGTCCAAAAGTTTCTGTCATTCCTGTGCTCTTCCCTGAAGCTTGCTTTTTTTGTTTGTTCTTGAAATGCTTTGAAAAAAGTTTGACCAATTCTCAATTTTTTTTTGCTCACTTCAGGTTGTTATGGTTGTTATAAAAAATGCACCCAATAACTTTCACACAAACATGTTTTAAAAATTTGCTGGTAGTCCAAAAGTGACATCAAACATTTCATATGATGGAAAACTATTTTCAGTGAGATTCTCCTGTTCATTGTTTGAATTAAAAGAAAAGTGCTGATCTTGAAAATTCAGGCATTCTTCTATAGTTCCCCAAACTCAAAAACTTCTCAAGTTTATTTTTTTTGAGTCCTTATTCTGATTTTGCATTGAAGAATTTTACCTGTACCAAAATTTACTGAATTTGCATAAAATTGGAAATTGCACCCAATCACTTTCACACAGTGATGTTTTAAAATTTGCTGGTAGCCCAAAAAACATCAAACATTTTAGATGATGGAAAACTGTTTTCAGTGAGATTCTCCTGCTCATTGTTTCAATTAAAAAGAAAAAAATGCTGATCTTGAAAATTCAGGCCTATTCTAATTTTCCCAACTCAAAAACTTTCCACGTACTGTATATATTTTGTAGTGGGTCCTTCTGAGTTTGATTTGAGGAGATTGCAACTGTGCCAAAATGGCCAAAAGGAAATTTGACTCTGAAACTTTGGTATATAATAACTCAAGAGCAATTGTGAAAATAATATGCACTTATTTTTTGAAGTACCCCTTGTGGTTTCCTTCCATGTTTTCCTCACTGTGAGCACGGTTGGTTAAGAGGGGGGAAAAACTAGGAACAATGAGAAAAAAACAATAGGGGGGGGGGGACATAAAAAAAAAGCATGATCAACGCTGTCCTAAAAGTTTTGCCCACAGAGTTCAACGAACACGTTAAA